TGGAGTAATAGAAGGCCTTGAAGCGAATGATTTATTATTCTATACTCATTTATTGACTGGTATGAAAATTTTTAATTGTTGTATTTAAGGATTTGTCTTCCAAATATTTGGTTTTGTTTACTATGGTGGCTAGTAGCCATGTCTCAGACTCTTAGTCATCTGATGGTATATAGAAATTGGTACTTTTACTTTGACCTCCCATCATTTTTTATATTTTATATATAGCTTTGTCACAGATAACATATGTATAATTATATATTTGTGTACATGTATGTATATTTTCTCCAAATTGTACCCAATATTTTTCTCCAATCTGTACCCAGGAAAAGAAGAACAAGCCTCACATGTTAGTAGTTTGGGATGAAAATAAGTGTGAATGAGAGACAGTGTGCGCAGCTGATTCATTTGATTTGAACCTCAATCTTTTTTCCCACTACCTCAAACTTTTGATTAGAGTGGTTGCATATCCAAAGCATTTGCTCCTTGCCTTATTGTAATTCTTCCACTCTCCCATTCATTTGGTTTACTGGAAAGTTTGAGAAAATAAAGCTACCCTTTCCTGCAATGCATAATCATGTATAAAAATGCAAGGCAAAATTGTGGGAAAATCTTTCCTTCAAAATAGTACTTATGGCAGGACCCACTTTCTTCTGTCAACAACCACTTGTGCATTTTTGTAAATGAATTTTTTTTTTCTTTGTCAATCAAACTCAGCTCAAGTATACCTGTGTTAGAATCCTTTTGTTTTACCTTGAATCTTTGATGAATCTGCTCTTCTGTTATTTTAGTTTGTTGCATTTTTGTTTTTCTTGTAAACTGGCATTTTGTTGTATGTCCATTTTTTTTTTTTCCCTGTTTGATTCTATCATATCCATTTTATGCGTTAACAAGTCTGACTAGTGTATCTGTAGGTATATTGGTTTCGGTCTCCTTTTTGAACACTGTATTAGAAGTCATCAGCAAGCTTCGGTCTGTCAACCCCAAACTTACTTACGGTGAGTTAGATACTGAACACTGAAAGTTCTTGCTATTCATGAATTTAGTTCTAGTATGTGCTTTTGTTTTTCCTCTTTTTATTGATTAATATTTTCTGAAAGCTCAACATGATTTTTATGATTAAGTCATTATTCTTTGGCTTTTTTGGTTTATTGAGCTCATCTTTGAATTTCTTGTAGTTTCTATCATGATACTTGTAAAAATAAATTGATAGAGAGAGAATAATTGTATGTATATTGATTGATGTATTTATGTTGTAGTTATTACAATTACAAGGATTCCTATTTATATAGGAGTGTGTTTGGGAGTAGGTGGAGAGTAGGTGAGTGGAGGTGGTATTGGTATAGTGGGTTGGTTTAGTGGAGTAGGTGAGGTGTAGTGGTGGTAGGTTTATGGTAAAATTCTAACAGCCCCCCGCAAACTCAAGGAGGATAGAAACTAACCAACTTGAGTTTGAAAGAGAGGAACAAAACAAGAAAATACATAAAAATAAAAAAAGGATAGGAGACATTGGAAATGGTCGTGTCATAACGTTGTAGAGGACACTGTATGGTGGTGGTCATAACGTTGTAGAGGACACTGGAAAAGCTAACCGGAATCAATGTCGGGACAGTTTATGGGGTCATGTCGGACCGTTGTAGAAGACAGTTTATGGGGTCATGTCGGACCGTTATAGCAGACAATGTTGTGACGTTTTGTGACAGTTTACGGAGTCTTGCTGGACCCTTGTAGAAACTAACCGGAATCTATGTCGAGACAGTTTACAGAGTCTTGTCGGACCCTTGGAAAAGTGGCACCCTCAAAAGGTGTGCCCAATTTTGTCAAAAGGCGTGCCATCAAAAGGCGTGCCCAATTCATCAAAAGGTGTGCCGGACATGATGGCGAGGCACGTGGGCGCCTTGGCTTGCGTGCCCGTTTGTCGGCTGGTGGTAAGAGGCGCGCGATGCGCTTGGCTGCCTCGGCTATAAGACAGAGGCTGAGGCTGAGGCAAAAAACCTGCGAGAAGATATTCTGAGAGAGATTTTCTGAGAGAGATTCTGTAACACTCTGTTTTCTGAGAGAGAATTCTGAGAGAGATACTGTGTAACACTCTGGTGCCTAGAAAATGGCTTCATCGTCTTCCCGCGGGCTTGCTCACCCTCTTTCCCGACCTCAACGAGTCAACGAGAGAGAGAACTGGTGCGGTGGCACTGGAAACTCAACAAGCAGCCCCGGAGTTTGCTCCGTTGAACTTTCCGATGCGGTCTGTGGAGCAAAGAATGGCAGTGAGACGGATGTGGAGGCCAATCAGTATACTTTGGAAGTCATGTGTGAGAAACCATGACGGCGGTGACACAACTTGTCGAACCGGCTGCCAGAAGTAGGACAAATGAGGTGCAGCAGTTAAACTCCCAGCTGGCTCTGCTCCAATGCATGTATAAGGATGCGCGAGCAGAGATAAGTGTGCTAAGGCGGAAAATAAGGAGCTGATGCGGAAGGCCACCGTTATGTTCCGATTTGGAGGTCCGCCATATGCTGCAGTGGAGGAGTATGGGGAGTGAACGTGCTCGGCGGCGTGGAAAACACGGAGGCAGCACCGTCAAGGGCCGCTCAGGACGGAGGCAAGAAGAGAGACCGGCGGCAGAGTAGAGAAGAAAAATCCCACTGTTCCGATTTGTTGTTGGTTTTGTTTTGTTTTGTTTTGTTTTTGTTTTGTTTTTTTTTGTTTTTTTTTTTTGTTTTTTGTGGTGAAATGGTGATCGGGGTGAGCCCCGACATGAATAAAATAAGTTGGTGTGCAGTTCATTCTTCTCCCTCGTTGTTGTTGTTGTTGTTGTTGTTGTTTTTTTTTTTTTTTTTTTTTTTTTAAATGAAAAATAAAGTGAAAGAGAAAGAAAAAAAGAAAGAAATAATAAGAATATATGTGAATAAAAATTGAAGAGAAATGTGTGAATGTGAAAGGAATAAAAATAAAAAAGAAAATGTGAGATTCAAACGTGTGTGGCGAGGCCACCACTAATAGAAAAGTAAGATGATAAGGTGTGCAAATCAGGTGGTGTTTCGGTTGAGTAAAATAAATATATAAAAGAAAGTGGAGTGGTGTCATCCTCATAGACATCGGTTATGATTTTTTTTTTTTTTTTTTTTTTTTTGAGAAATATAAAAAAAGAAAATAATAATAATAAGAGAAAATGAGAAAAGGGTGATGCGGCACTAACAATGGCCGAAGATAATTAAACTTGACGAAAAGAAAAATATAATATTGCTTGCCTGGCCGACAGCACATGACCACTTGTTGCTTTTCAATTCTTATTTATTTATTTATTTATTTATGTTATCTTCTCCCCAACCAAAAGCAGAACCATTACCATTCAGCCCTCATCAGTACCCCGCATCTCTACCAGCTTACAACTGCAACAAAGAGAGCCATCACATAGGAAGAGGAGACACCGCAAGACCAGCGTCGGCCTTTGCGCCGTCGAAGCCGCTGGCAGCGGAGGACTTCCGGGGAGGTGAATGCCGGAGTTCCGCAGGCGGTTTGGAGCACTTGCGTGGAGCTTGGTTTTCGGCGAGGTGGAGGCCAACCTCACAACCAGGATGAGCAACAGTACATACCATCAGTCACCCACTACATCCGGCGACTATGGCGGCGGAGTACGATCCGAAACGTGCTTCCGGCGACTATTCGTCCGCCGTGAATGACGGCGTGACGGGTGGAGGAATGCCAAGATATGATCCGGCGAAGTCTCAGAACTCCAATGGTGGAATTTTTGAGGGAGCATTTGGAGAACGCTGGATGCAGTATTGGGGAAAAATTCATTCAAGGCTAGGTAAAGAGATTTTGGGTTTGCGTCGGCGAGGTGGTGAAGAAGAGTGAAAGGTATGTGAGAAAATGCTAGTGACTAGGTTGAGGGGTCCGGCGGGCGGCCAGGCGAAGTTGCCGCCCGCCGGTGAAGCAAAAATACTAGGTTCTAAACCTGCTCTGATACCATGTAAAAAATAAATTGATAGAGAGAGAATAATTGTATGTATTATTGATTGATGTATTTATGTTGTAGTTATTTACAATTACAAGGATTCCTATTATATAGGAGTGTGTTTGGGAGTAGGTGAGAGTAGGTGAAGTGGAGGTGGTAGTGGTGTAGTGGGTTAGGTTAGTGGAGTAGGTGAGGTGGTAGTGGTGGTAGGTTTATGGTAAATTCTAACAATACTGTATTCCTATATGATCTCAGGGTTGGCCGCTGTTGAATTATTTGTTCATTATTGTGTTGTGACGGAAAGCAGTATTTATATAAAAACAACATCATAGGTTCATTAATGATTATACTGTGGTGGAAATATGGACCTTTTTTTCTTTCTTTCTTTTTTTAACGTGCCCAATAATCCAAGGTCTACATTGTTGGAATCAAACAAGTTTCTCCACTTAATCTTGAAATAGTTATATTATTTTCTTTTCTTTTTTTTTTTTGTAAAATTAAGGGAACATGGTTATCTTCATAATCAAACCATTCTCAACCTATCCTATAGACACTGAACATTATGAAAGGGTGTTAATATTTTTGGAATGGGTGAACTAGTTTAAACTATTTACAAAAATTTTGCATACCTTGCTTTGTTTTCAAAAAGGTGGATGTAGATAATTCTCAAATAAATCCTTGCACTCCTCTACTTGATATTGTCCCTATTTGACTTGTGAATTCTTTAGTATTGTGGTGCTTGATTAATCCAAGAGATTTGATCTATTACAGTGGTTGGGATAAGATTTCCTCCTGTGGCTACTTCCTGTGCTGCTTATGATGACTATGCTGGACCTCATTTATTGGTCTAAAAAAGGCAGACTACTATAATTTTTGAATGTCAGAAAAAAACTATAATTTAATGTCCAGGCATTCCAAAACAAGCAAGAATTCTGTGTAAAGATTATCTTACAAGAATAGAGATCTAGAAGAAGACAATATTGATAGGATAAAGTTAATAAGAATACAAACTTACTGTTTGTTGAGAAATATTCTTGCCTATACTTTGATTTATGAGGATAATGTTCTTGTAAAAAATATATGTATAAAGAGAAAACTACAGAGAATAAATGTATCTGATGATCTTATTATTGATTAATATTGATTGATATCTGATTGATTACAAGAATTGATGTGTTACAGATTTATTAAATTACAATTCCTTAACAAATCTATATATAGAAGAGAATGTGGTAGTAGGTGTAGTGGAGGTGATATGGGTTAGGTGAAGTGGAGTGTGTGGTGAAGTGGAGGTAGGTGAAGTGGAGTGTGTAGTGGAGTAGTGAGGTAAAGATGGGGAAATTCTAACAGCCCCCCGCAAACTCAAGGAGGAGAGAAACTAACCAACTTGAGTTTGAGAGAGTAACAAAACAAGAAAATACATAAAAATAAAAAAGGATAGGAGACACACTGTATGGTCGTGTCAGACCGTTGTGAAGACACTGTATGGGTGTCATAACGTTGTAGAGGACACTGTATGGTGGTGTCAGACCGATGTAGAAGACAGTTTATGGGGTCATGTCGGACCGTTGGTAAAAGACAGTTTATGGGGTCATGTCGGACCGTTGTAGAAGACAATGTTGTGACAGTTTTACGGGTCTTGCTGGACCCTTGTAAGAAACTAAACCGGATCAATGTCGGGACAGTTTACAGAGTCTTGTCGGACCCTTGTAGAAACTAACCGGAATCTATGTCGGGACAGTTTACAGAGTCTTGTCGGACCCATAAAAAGGAGCTAACCGGAATCAATGTCGGGACAGTTTTACAGAGTCTTGTCGGACCCCTAAAAAGTCGCACCCTCAAAAGGTGTGCCCAATCTTTCAAAAAAGGCGTACCATCAAAAGGCGTGTCCACTTTATCAAAAGATGTGCCATGAAAAGGCATGCCAGTTTGTCGGGCGTCAAGAGGCGCGCGATGCGCGTGGCTGCCTCGGCTATTTAACCAAGACGAAGGCAGAGGCTGAGGCAGAAAAACTTAGAGAAACCTCTGAAAAATCCTTTGTGTTGCTGAGAAAGAGAGTTCCTTTGTGCTGAGAGAGATAGTCTGTAACACTTTGTTGCCCAGAAAAATGCCTCGTCTTCCCGTGGACTGCTCACCCTCTTTCCCGACCTCAACGAGTCAACAAGAGAGGAGAACTGGAGCGGTGGCAACTGGAACCTCAACCGAGTGCCCCGGAGTTTACTCCGCTGAAACTTCCGATGCGGTCTGTGGAGCAAAGAATGGCAGTGCAGTCGGATGTGGAAGCCAATCAGTATACATAAAGTCATGTGTGGAAACCATGACTGCGGTTACAAACTTGTCGAACCGTCTGCAGAGATAGGCAAATGAGGTGCAGCAGTTAAACTCCCAGCTGGCTCTGCTCCAACGCATGTATAAGGATGCGCGAGCAGAGATAAGTGTGCTAAAGGCAGAAAATAAGGAGCTGAAGCGGAAGGCTACTGTGATGTTCCGATTTGGAGGGCCGCCATATGCTGCAGTGGAGGAGCAGGGAGTAGTGATCATGCCCAGTGGAGTGGGACACACGGAGGCAACACGGCAAGGGCCGCCCAGGACGGAGGCAAGAAGAAAAGACCGGCGGCAGAAGTAGAAGAAGAAAAAAAATCCACCTGTGAATGTGGTTGTTTGTTTGTATTTATTTATTTATTTATTTATTTATTTTTTTTTTTTTTTGGTGTAAAATTGTGATCGGGGTTGATCCCTGAGATGAATAAAATATGGTTTGGTGTGCAAAGCTAAATGGTATGAATGGAATTGGAAAAAGAGTAAAAATATGTGAAAGAAAAATAAAGAAAATAAATAATAAAAAATATATTTGAAATAAAAAAAAAAATGAAAGATGGGGGAAATAAGGAAAGTGGGTTGGAGAAAATAAATAAAAATAATGGAGTGTGAATCAAACGGAGGAGAGATGATGTTTTTTTTTTTTTTTTTTTTTTTTTTAATATATAATAAAAAAGAGATATATATATAATATATATATAAAATATAGAAAGTGGGGAAAGTGGCGGTGGATGCAAATGGGTTGGAAAGTGAAAAGATGAGAGAGGAGAAGACATGTGGTGGTTGTGCATGTGTAGCTGGTGAAATCAAAGATGGAGTAAAAATAATAAAAAGAAAAAGAAAGTTGATAAGCTGGGTTTTTGTTTTTAATTCATTTGCTTATTTATTATTTATTTTATTTGTGTGATAGAGTGGATCACGTGCATTTATGTATTTTAATTTGAAGTTGGCAGATGACCATCGAGACAGAAGAGATTTGTTGATATTACCATAGATCAGGAGAGAGAACGAGTGGTAGTGCTCACGAAAGCATTCGTGCCTCACAATCAAGACCTCAGTGCTCGGAATTTGATCGAGACAGCCGGTCTCGAGGGCTATTTGGGGCTCTCGGTGGCCCTCGTGTACGAGAAGGGCTTTGGGACAACCAGTCCCCTTGGTTCGGTTTATCTTCAGTTGTTGCCGGAGAATGACTGTATTCCAATGCTTTGGAGCTTGGAGGAAGTTTGATTCTCTGTTATTGGGCACTGAGCTTTCACAAGATAGTTAAGAAGACAAGGCTCTCAATCTATGAGGACTGGAAATGGAACTGGGGTGTTCATACCTCTATATTGTCAAATATAGAAGACGCATAAGAACAGAGGGAGGAACAATGACAAAGGAAGAATATTTTCTGGTATGTGTTTTAAAATTCTAGGGGACTACGTTGAGGTCCGGCGGGCGGCAAGGCGAGGTGCCGCCGCGGTGAAGCGGGAAATACTAAGATCTTAACCTTGCTCTGATACCATGTAAAAATAATATGTATAAAGAGAAAACTTACAGAGAATAAATGTATCTGATGATCTTATTATTGATTAATATTGATTGAATATCTGATTGATTACAAGATTGATGTGTTACAAGATTTATTAAATTACATTCCTATACAATCTATATATAGAAGAGAATGTGGTAGTAGGTGTAGTGGAGGTGATAGTGGGTTAGGTGAAGTGGAGTGTGTGGTGAAGTGGAGGTAGTGAAGTGGAGTGTGTAGTGGAGTAGGTGAAGGTAAAGATGGAAATTTCTAACAGTTCTCATGGGAGACTCTATTGACATAAATCTGGTTCTCCCTCACTGATTATAGACAGCTTTGATATTGTTGACTTCAATGTGCTTGTTATTCTTTGTAGTTTGTGATCCAGTAATGGGTGATGAAGGAAAGCTTTATTCCCTCCAGAACTGGTAGCAGTATACCGTGAGGAAGGTTAGTTTCCCATCATCAAGTTATCCTTTTTACCTTAATGAATGCCATAACCTTGTGCTGGCCCTGGAAATCTGAGTTGTTGGGAGGCCAGTAACAAATTTTAATTCTGGTTTTCATTTAGAGACTCGAAGTTGTGTTCTCAATGTGCTTTTCCTTTGCATACCAAGCAATGGCCCCCAGCATTTTAGTTTATACTTCTTATCTTAGAAAGTTATTTCCTATAATTATTATAATATGCTAAAAACATAGTTAAAAATGCTTTGTTTTTATTCTAGAAAACTTTAGAGCTTGTAATTATTCAATTGTATATATATGGTCCTTAGATAAAATATCCCTTTCATGAGTATGACTAGTATATGGATTGCAAAACATATCGCTTACACTTGTTTGAAAAAATTATTATAAAGCTTGAGGTGTCTAAAATTTTGAAAAAATTATATATATATATTATTAATAATTATAACCACATGAATGGTTGCACATTTTTTTTTTTTTGTGTGTGTTTTTTTATTTATTTATGGACATTTGTGATTGATAATTATTTTATTACACATTTAACACTTTAATAAAACCTCCTTTCTTTAGGTTGTCCCTGTTGCTTCAATGTTGACTCCTAACCAATTTGAAGCAGAACAGTTGACTGGGTTAAGGTATTCATAACATGTTATTGATATTACAGAATGGTATGGTAGTTTGTTCTGTTCTGGTGTTGTTCTCCATAAATCTAGATCCCTCTTTTCTTACTAATAGATCAGTAACATCTGATGGGAATTTCATTTTCCCGTTTGTTTAGGATATAAGATAAATAAAATTAGGTCTATGACATAAAAATAACTGGTCATAAGCTGTAAAATCTTGTATATACAAAGCTAGACTAGATGCTTCCATGTTGAAACCATTTAAAATTGTTTTCTGTTTCTGATTCAAAAACTTATTAGTATTCCATTATGGCATCTGTTTCATGTCAAATGTGATGCCATCGGTTGATGCTGCTTGGAAATATTCATGGAATGTCGTTCCCATATGCTTTCAAGTCCTAGACATGCTACTATATATGGCTGGATTCATGAAATTGAGTTCTGATTTGGGCCTACCTTACTGAGTTTTGTCAGTTGATTTCATTGCATTGCATTAGCCAGTTGTTCCTTCTGAGTAGGTTCACTTGTCACAGGATTGTGTCTGAACAAGATGGCCTGGAAGCCTGCAACATTCTTCATGCTGCTGGACCACCAAAGGTTTGTTAATACTTGTATCTTAGACCTATTGAACCTGGAAGTTGCCTCTCAATGCTTCTCATCTCTTTCAAAATGCAACTTCCTAGCTTAAATATATACATTTCTTTTCTATGTAAACTGAATCCTTGAAGGCTGTGATGTGCACTGTGTGCATGTGTTACCGCTTCCACTGGATGTCTAAACAAGAATAATAGGCTTTGAAAGCCTAAAGATGGCTATGGGTCCCACGATCATCAAATAGCCTTTTTGGTCCAAAGGGTAGTGCCCATGGCAGTGTTTTTGGGTCTTTATTTACATTTATTATAAGTTCGTATGCTACTGATATTTTTGTTCTTTTTCATTGGTTTTAAGAGCTTAGAGTATTTTGGTAACTTTCCATTTTGCTGGACCTGAGGTGCAGTTTTTGTCCATGGGTTCTAATATTGATCAAGATGTTATTGAGTCTTCTATATGGTTTTTAGTAGGTCTTTTATATGGTTCTGTTTTCTAAAGCAAAAAATTATTAGCAACAATGCCTTAAGGGGACCTGCATGTCTTACTATCAGCTTATTTTTCTAAAATTTTCTTTTAATTTTTTTGAAATTTCTGGTTTGTTTGTCTCCCCCGCGGGTAAAAAGATTTAGAAATCCAATCCCCCATGGGGGCTTTCCTTGCAACCACTGAAAATTTGGTTTGTTTGTGGTTCAGAACAAAGCCAATATAGATGATCTGCTCCAAGCAGGCAGGCCTTATAATGCTCAGCCTGAGTGTTGCTGGGTAAAAGGTGCAATGACAGATCCAGTCATCTTTATATCTGTTGCCCTTTTTCTCCTCTTGATAAAATGTGGGATACTCCAAGGGACTCCCTTTGCGCAACTTCCTTTGTTGCTTTGTGGCACCTTGGTGTTCAGGGAGAGTCAAATCAAACTTAGATCGCTGCTTTCTTGAGAATTTAGATAATGTGGAAACGGGAGTATGTTTGGAGAAACTATTGGGAGCAGAATTCTTCTTTTTTCAAGGCCAGCCAGCCATGATCATGCAAACAATCTCATATGATACGTGCAGTATCACTATGTAAATGTAAATAGAAGAGATCCCTTATTCAACAATGTAAATGTATATATTACCAACCTTGATGACAAGCAATCTCATACCTTCAAAACAAATCTATCCTTAGCATATGATTATAAATTCTATTGAAAAAATGTAAGGTTAAAAAAAGTGGTACCCTTATTCACTAAAAGTTGAAGTACTGCTTCATTGATACGTGCAGTATCACTATGTAAATGTAAACAGAGAAAGGCAGCAATTTATCACTTCACCATAATGTCAGTATCACTATGTTAGTTCATTAGGAATTACACTTCT